TTAATTTGTTAACATTTTAAAACATACTATCTTAATAAATAATAGCACTGATTTTCTTCAAGATTTCTACATAAATAAAATTGTGAGACGTAAACAAAATCAAGAGTTTGTTTGACGTGAACATTTTAGATAAGCTTCCTTTACTTTTTATTTGTAATGTTATTAGTGGAGTAGTGGTGACTCTGACAAAAGTTGCAGATCTACAGTGTTGTACAGTGATGTCCAAAAGTTTGAGACCACTACTAAAAATGCTTCTATTTTGCATTAATTTCTAATTTAATCAGATACAAATCAGATTGTCAGCGTAACAGTGTGTGTGTGAAAAGCAGAATCTTTGAAATACATGTATTTCTTAATACTTGGTATGCCCCCTTTTCTCTAAAACATTCTTTTATTCATTTACTGGTTGAAATGAATGAAATACCAGATTATTTTAATGTGATCTTCAGTGTGCTCTTTTTTGGAGTTGTAGACTGTAAATTTTTTGTAACTGTAGATTTTTGTAAAAAAATCTGTTATTTATGGTTTTAAAAAAATGTTGAATTAAGTTTATTTTCATTTTTCCCAGAAAAATTATGTGCAAAAAATGTATGTCCACTTTTTCCACTTAATTGAAGCCTGATTACGTATTACAGAACCATTTGGCTAATTAGCATTTAGCTATAATCTAACATTTAACTAATTATAGCAGTCATAATTAGCTAAATTAACAATTAACTACTATTACCACAAGCACAAACAACTATTATTTGCCACCTTAAAAATGTATTAAATAATTTAGTTACTATATTATTAAAACACTAAAAAACAATGTTAGCGTTTGTGTTGATATACCTAGTATATTAAATCAAACAGTAAAAGAAAAAAAGAAAAAAAACACTTTCCATGTTCCACTTTCTACAGACTAAGTGTTCACTTCATTGCACACTAGGAAGACATTTTCATGTGTAAGCCAGTTCAAGTTACTTTCCTCTTTTCTCTTTATACAAATAATTAGTTGAACTCCAGGTCAAAACACCTTCATAAGCATTCTCATGAGTCCTCTAGTGTTGGGTGTATTTTGTAGGGTTGAGACAATACAGGTTAGCAGAGAATGTTGTGTTTCTTAACGGTCAAGCCAAAGGACATAAGCAAGCTGATATGCAAATAGAGCTAGAGAACAGTACAAACTAATGGTGCAAACACATCCAGACTGGTAAAACGCTGGCCTGTACAGAGTTCAGCTGATCTGTGCAAAGAGTTCCAAGAGGCTGAAAAAAGTTAAGCTAACCCTGTAAAGTGTACAATAATGGCCTCGGCATTTGTTTGTTCTGACAACTGAACACAGGGAGAGTTTATCAAAATCAAGTATTAGGTTATTACGGCTATTGAGAAAAGAAGCTACCCACATTAGAGCTGGTATGCAAAGTCAGAATACAGGCTTTTGCAGAAAGAAGTTACGTCAAATTGGGGGTGGGCGATATGAACTCAAATTTATATCAGGGTATTTTCTATTCAGCAATATATTACAATTTCAAACAAAAGTTAAAACACTCATAACAGTAACAGTAATAATAAATATAAAAAACAAAAATAATAAGTATTATTGTTTTTATATGTATTATTATTGTTGCTACTTTTGCCAATTTTATTTATTTATTTATTTATTTATTTATTTATTTATTTATTTATTTACTGCAGTAACTGAAAAGTATTTTTCATTGTGTAAATACCACCACACACTCATCAGTATGGAAGCAGTTTTAGTCATTCTCTTCTGCAGCCTCTCCTCACATTTGTTTTTACCTCTTCACTCACTAATAATTTCAACTTCCACCTTGTAGTAGATCTCTAAAATAATATCTTGCTGTTTGCAATATCTAACAAAGACAGCTTTTCCAGGTTTGTAACCACATTAAGTTCAATTCCAGCCCGCTGGATGACTTTTACAAGCTGATTCGTTCTTCTTTGTCATAACAGTTTCCTGGTCCACTAAAAATCTAATTCAAATCGAATCATGTTTATCGTCACATCACATTTACACAGGTGCAAGGTGAGTGAAAATCTGCGTAACCCCCTTGTAGAATTTAAATACAAATAAATACAATAACACACACACACACACACACATATACACACACACATATATATATATATATATATATATATATATTTATATATATATATATATATACATATATATGTATATGATGATAATGTACTGTTGCACACATTTCCGTATGTGCAGTTAGTGAGTCTGAGGTAGATAAATAAATGGGATGCAGGGTAAACAGGGATAGAATATTGATATAGAAATCTTCCAGATTATACAAGATATGGACAGAAGATGTACAACATGTCAATCTATATGTATAAGTATAGATTTGCTAAATTGAAGGTGCAGTAAGATTAGAGTAAGTCTGTTGAGATGTGGATGATGTGTAGATTGTCCATGGAGATCTTCATAATGATGAGTCAGAGATGTAGTGACAGGCCTATAGACAGATACACCAGTATTACTGGCTGTTCAGCAGCCTGATGGCCCGGGGGAAGAAACTGTCTCTGAACCGGCTGTTTCTGGACTTTATGCTTCTGTACCTCCTCCTGCTTGACAGCTGCGAGAACAGACAGTGGCTTGGGTGAGTGGAGTCCTATAGAATCCTCCTGGTCTTCCTCAGGCAGCGGCTGGTGTATAAATTCAGGTTTGGGAGCTGGACCCCGGTGATGTGCTGGGCTGTCTGCACCACCCTCTGCAGAGCTTTCCACTCGACAGGAGAGCAGTTTCCATACCAGGGGGTGATGGAGCCTGTTAAAATGCTCTCCACAGCACATTTGTAAAATGTTCTGAGGATGCAGGGGTTCATGCCAAACCTCCTCAGCCGCCTGAGGTAGAAGAGGCGCTGTTGTGCCTTCTTCATCACCCGTGTGGCATGTTCGCTCAATGTCAGTTCCTCTGAGATGTTAACACCGAGGAACTTGAAGCTGCTGACCCTCTCTACAGTCGCTCTGTTGATGGTGATGGGGGTGTGCACTTTCTCTTGCTTCCTGAAGTCCACTATGAGCTCCTTGGTCTTGTCGACATTGAGAGAGAGGTTGTTCTCCTGGCACCAGAGTGTCAGGAAGCGATCTCCTCTCTGTAGGCCTCCTCGTTGTCATTGGAGAGCAGGCCCACAATCGTGGTGTCATCTGCAAATTTAATGATGACACTGGAGCTGTGTCTGCCTGAACAGTCGTGGGTGTACAAGGAGTACAAGAGAGGGCTGAGCACACAGCCCTGAGGAGATCCGGTGTTAAGGGGCAGTGGGGAAGAGGTGATGTTGCCCATCCTTACCACCTGGCATCGGTCCGTCAGGAAGTTCAGGATCCATTTGTACTGAGAACTGTTCGGACCCAGAGCCCAAAGCTTACTGTTGAGCCTTGAGGGCACGATGGTGTTGAATGAGCTGTAGTCCACAAACAGCATTCTCACATACGTGTTCTTTTTGTCCAGATGGGAGAGGGCAGTGTGAAGAGTCAGGGCTATTGCATCATAAGTGGATCTGTTCTGTCTGTAAGCAAACTGCAGTGGGACCAGAGTGGCAGGTAGTGAGGATCAGATAAAGTCTCTGACCAGCTTCTCAAAGCACTTGCTTATGATGGAGATCAGAGCAACAGGGCGCCAGTCATTTAGAGTATTTACCCTGGTTGACTTTGGAACTGGCACAATGGTGGCCAGTATGAAGCACGCAGGAACAACTGAGAGTGACAGTGAGGTTAAAAATGTCTGTAAACACTCCTGCCAGCTGACAAGCTTTGAGAGCATGAGTAGGTATGCTGGGGAGTAGCAGTGATCCAGCGTGCGTGATTTTTGTGTGCTGCATGAGATGTGCTGGAAGTACTTTGGAGAAACTTCCCTAAAGTTTGTTTTGTTAAAATCCCCAACAACAACGGAGGCTGCCTCCGGGCGTGTAGTCTCCTGCCTGTTAACAGCCTCATACAGTTTCCCAAGTGCCAGGTCTGTACCAGCCTGTGGTGGAATGTACACTGTGGTGACAATGACCCCTGAAATCTCTCTCGGCAGCCACAGCAGTCTGCACGAGATGATTAGATATTCCAGGTCTGGGGAGCAGAAAGATTCGATGAAGTGTACATTCCTCTGATCATACCAAGCATTGTTGATCAAAAAACATACATCTCCCCCTTTGCTCTTCCCAGAGAGGTCCCAACAATGCACTCGCTTCGTGCATGCATCCACGTAAACCTATACTGCTTAATGTAGAGCGACTGGAAGTCGCCCCTAGTGATGCAGTTGTGAGTAAAACCCCATTTTGTTGAGCTTAAAAGATTTATTTAAGCTGTTCATGCTCATACTTAGTTTGTCTTACTGTTGTGCATCACTGTTTTTGGGCTTATCACAGTATCCACAATAGGTAAAGATTCATGTCATTAGAGAATGCTGGAATCAACTTTCATACCGGTATACCAGCAACCCCTATGTCACAAATGGCTTCTATGAAAAGCAAAAGCCAGCACAAGCTGCAAGAGATAATAATAACTGATTTAATTTTCACTGTATATTGCAATTTATATATATATATATATTTCAATTTTAAGAAATAGAGCAACACATTTCAGTTATTTGCCAATTAATTTAGTTTCTCTGAAGAAGGATTGGTTGGAAATTTGAATACTTAACTAAAATTGTTGATGCCAGGCAAACAGGTATAACATAATTAACGGACATAAAGATTCTCAAAGTATCAACATCAACAAAAAACTGCATAAAAATAAATAAGAAAGCACCAAAAAATAAAAAAGGAAAAACTGGCAAAAGAGATACTGAGGCTTAATTCATTCAGATTAGTGGTGCTCATATCGGAAAGTCACACCTCCTTTCACTGTGGCCCAGCAGGGTAACATTTCCATAGAGGATTTGCATTTCCATCTGTATAAATACTACAAATCCTTCCTGTTAAACCAGCTGAAACATCCACACTTGCACATACTTAATCATTATCTTTACTCAATAGTTGTTTAGGTGGATGGAGTCTATCTTTACTCTCTTGCATGTGGTGATGGCCATCATCAATTTTTCCAGTACAAATGGAACTTTTTGTAACCTGCAAGGAGAGCCGGTATACCCACAACTTTCTAGGGATGGTGATATCATAATTGGAGGGATTTTCCCCTTTCATAGGAGTTGGGAAATCACAGAAGTGTCATATATGGTCAAGCCATCACCACTGAATTGCATGAGGTAAGTAGAAGGATAAACTAAGACTTCCATACATTTAATGAATATGTATTATTTTAAACAGTTACATTACACTGTAGAAGTGAAGCTTCTAGTTGTCATCATTAAAATGTCTGTGTATCTTCCTAATCCAGTCTTGATTTCAGAACCTTCCAGTTTTCACAGTCCTTGATCTTTGCAATAGAAGAGATCAACAACAATTCCTCTTTACTCCCGGGTATAACACTGGGCATCAAGCTCTATGACACATGTGGTTCCACGGCTACGGGGGTTAGAATGGCTATGGCACTTGTTAATGGGAATGAGAACTCAACCTTAAATGATCAATGCACAAAGCCAGCACAGGTGCAAGCCATAATTGGAGAAGCACATTCAACAGTGTCAATGGCTATTGCAAAGAGTGTCGGACCTTTCAGCATTCCCTTAGTAAGCATTGATGCATTATTTTTTGAATAATAACTATTAAAATATTACAACTATTAAAAACCAGTAAACTTATTCCAGAACTTACCTTTAATATTAAATGGACTACTGGCAAAAGAATATTATGACTTATCTGTATGAATCTGTTTTTAGATCAGTCCTTATTCCACCTGTGAGTGTCTCAGTGACAAAAGGAAATACCCCTCTTTTTTGCGCACTATTCCCAGTGATTACTACCAGAGCAGAGCACTGGCAGAGATGGTCAAACAGTTTGGCTGGACCTGGGTGGGCGCAATCAGAAGAGATGATGATTATGGTAACAATGGGATGGCTGCATTTACTGAAGCAGCAGAACAGCTGGGCATTTGTTTAGAATATTCCCTTCCATTTTTTACAACCTACTCACAAGAAAAAGTGCTGAGAATAATCCAGCAGGTCAAAAGCTCTACTTCTCGAGTGATTATAATATTTGTCCCTTATTGGGACTTGGAGATTTTGCTGAATGTGTTTTATGAGCACAACATCACTGGATATCAGTGGGTGGGAACTGAAGGTTGGATCTCTGATTCAACTGTAGCCAGACTGGATAAGCACAAAATACTGCAAGGAGCCATAGGGCTAGCTATACCCAAAACAACAGTGACGGGTCTGAAGGACTTCATTTTGGAAATACAACCACTGAAATCTGCAGGCAGTGCCATTTTTACTGAATTCTGGGAGGCTCTGTTTAAGTGCAAATATACAGTGCAGAATGACTCAAAAGATATAATCATGTGTACAGGACAGGAGAAACTGTCTGAAATGGAAAATGAATTCACAGACATGACCCTGATGCCCATTTTCAATAATGTATATAAAGGAGTATATGCTATTGCCCACACACTAAACAGCCTCCTCAACTGCACGCAAACATGTCCTACAAAGAAGCAGCCTGATCCTTTCACTGTAAGTTAAAAGTCTGTTTCAGCTTTAGCACACGCGTGTAGCACTAATTCAGAAAAACTAGCTAAAATCCTGTACTTTTATGGAGTAGTAAACATTAATCTCATTCAAATGTTGTAACTTGTTCTATTACATCAGTTTCTGGAACATCTGAAAAGAGTGCGCTTCAAAACCAAAGATGGCGAAGAGGTTTATTTTGATAAAAATGGTGATCCTGCGGCTAAATATGAAATAATAAATTGGCAAACTATTGAAGATCACCATGAGTTTGTCACTGTTGGACTTTATGACTCTTCTTTCCCTGCTCACAATCGATTAGCTGTAAAAATGGCTTCCATTGTGTGGGCACAAAATACAAATCAGGTACAGGGAAATACTATAAGCAAGAATAATATTTAATGTATAAAATAAATTATTATTATACTATTAAACATTTTTTGACAATAGGTGCCGGTGTCTGTGTGCAGTGAGAGCTGCCCTCCAGGCACCAGGAAGGCTGTGCAGAAAGGAAAGCCAGTCTGCTGTTTTGACTGTATACCATGTGCTGAAGGAGAGATCAGTAATATGACAGGTACAAACATTCACAAAAGCTGAAACAAAGTATTGTTAGTATTACTGTTTTAACCATAAAATATTTTAGAATATAAGTCTAAACTGTTTAAAGTCTAGAGGTTTATTCTCCATGTTTCTGGAGATAAAAACACAATGGCAACATTATGTGTAATGTATTCCTTCATTTATTTTCCCTCTGCATGAAACATTTATTTATGTTATTTATGTTATTTACCTCTCCTTGACAGATGCAATTAAATGTGAACAATGCCACCAAGACTACTGGTCAAATCCACATAGGAATGAATGTGTAAAGAAGGAAATTGAGTTCTTGTCGTATGAGGAAACGATGGGAATTTTGCTGACAGCTGTTTCAATTATTGGTACAGTTCTGACAATAATAATAGCAATTATATTCTTTAGATATAAAAATACCCCAATAGTCAAAGCTAATAACTCAGAGCTGAGTTTCTTATTGCTCTTCTCTCTGGCTCTGTGTTTCCTCTGTTCACTTACTTTCATTGGTCGGCCCTCTGAGTGGTCCTGTGTGCTGCGTCACACAGTGTTTGGGATCACCTTCGTCCTCTGCATCTCCTGTGTTCTGGGGAAAACAATAGTGGTGTTAATGGCCTTCAGAGCTACACTTCCAGGCAGTAATGTCATGAAATGGTTTGGGCCTCCACAACAGAGACTCAGTGTTCTTGCTTTCACTCTCATACAGGTCCTAATATGTATTCTTTGGTTAACAACATCCCCTCCTTTCCCCGTCAAAAATCTAAAGCACTACAAGGAAAAGATCATTCTAGAATGTGGATTAGGTTCAGCAGTAGGTTTCTGGGCTGTGCTGGGTTATATAGGACTGTTGGCTCTACTGTGTTTTGTTTTAGCTTTTTTGGCTCGGAAGCTGCCTGATAAGTTTAATGAAGCCAAGTTCATCACATTCAGCATGCTCATATTCTGTGCAGTTTGGATCAGCTTCATCCCAGCTTATGTCAGCTCTCCTGGAAAGTTCACTGTCGCTGTGGAGATATTTGCCATTTTGGCCTCAAGCTTTGGTTTGCTGTTCTGTATCTTTCTTCCAAAGTGTTACGTAATCATAATGAAACCAGAAAAGAACACTAAGAAACAAATTTTGGGTAAAGTGCCAGTGAAGTGAGCTGCACATTTACTATTAATATGGCTTTAAATAAAACGTTCCTCACATTACAACTGTAATCTTAATTTGTTATCATTTTAAAAGGTATTATACCAGACCTTTTAGACAATCCTGTACAATTCAATATTCAATATGTGAAGAAAATCAGTGACTGGTTTAATGTGAAAATATTAGGGAAACTGTTTTTTTTGTTTTTTTCTATATTGAGTATCCAAAAACAGGAGTTACACACGTCTTTTGAGTTTTTATATTTAATGTTCACAATGTTTATAGTGGTAAATGTGACAAAAGCAGTACATCTAAAAAAATTGTTTTCCCTGCAGATTATTTTCTTTGGGACTGTACCTCTCCACCATGAATTGATTAAAAGAAATATAAAAGTTTAAGCTCAAAAATGTATTTTAAATCTATATTAAAATAATGTCTCGAGCATCCAGCAAAGTATTCGAAACCATTTAACGTAATAGTTTTTTGTGCAGTAGATTCTAGGGGCATTAAATGCTTTGGAAGTCTGGTTCCTATCACCACCACTGTGATCAATTCTGAATTGGCAAGTTCACATCAGATCACCATAAATGCTTTTTTTCCCTATCTTGCTGACTACAGTGGGGTCCAAAAATCTGAGACTACTTGTGAAAATGTTTTTATTTTCAATTGTTTTCTAATTTAACACAGAATGTTTTATTACAAAGTACATCATCAGCATAACAGGTGAGTGAAAAGTAGACTCACTAAAATATTAACATGAATTTCAGAATATCTTATTATTTGGTATGGCCCCCTTTCTGCTGACAACGTGCCCTTAAGCTGGCACTGACTCCACAAGTTTGTCCAAAAGTGTCTGAGGAGTAGATCAAATCTACCTGAGAGGATTAAGACTAAAAAAAATCTGACTTGTGCAAAGGCCTTAACATGGTCAATGCCACACTATTCATATTTGAATAGTGACCTAGACGGAGTGCAGAATCTTCAATATTTCTTCTTCATTTGACTTGGCTTAGTAAAACAGTTTTGTTCATTGACAGGTTTTGAATAAATGAAATCCCAGATTTTCAATGTGATCTCAGACTTTTATACCCCATTGTAGTTTTTTTTGTGAAAATCTAAGTAATTTGCTTTTGAAAATGTTTCATTAAGGTTTTTTTTTGCCTTTTTCCCCAGATTGTAATGTGCAAAAAATGTAGGTCCACTTTTTCTACTTGAAGCCTGATTATTTATTACAGAACCAATCAGTAAATACTATTAAAATATTTTATCATAAAGTTTGTTTTGTGTTAAATGATTTACTAAACAGTTTATAAACACTTTCCACATTACATGTGTTCACTTCATTGTAGACTAGGAAGATATCTGCATGTTTAAGCCAGTTCAAGTTACTTTCCCCTTCACTCAAATAATTAAAGTCATAACTTCAGATCAAAACACCCCTTATGAGTTCTCCATTGTTGGGTGTATTTTGTAGGGTTAAGACAGTACAAACCTGCATAGGACATTGTGTTGCATACTTGGCAAGCCAAATGACATAAGCAAGCCGATTTGCAAATGGTACTACAACAGTACAACAGTACAAACTAATGGTGCAAACACATCCAGACTGGAAAAACAACAAATTATCTGTACAGCTGACCTGCACAAAGAATGTGGAGAGGCTGGTGAAAGCTAAGCTAACCTGAAACAACTGCAAAGAATTCAATAATGGCCTCTGCATTTCGCTGTTGTCAGAAGAAAACCTTGTATCTCCAAAATGGTAACTTTACAGGAGAAGGAAAAAACCTACTTTACTTTTAATGTAAGTCAATTTTCTAAGTCATTTTGGGCTGTTTCGTTTGGTCCATTTATCATGAAATTACATTACATACAATAAAAAGGGCAACAAGCATTTTCAAATTATGTCAAAAACTGAAAAACGGCAAAAACTGAGATACAAGTTTTTCTTCCAACAGCAGCGATTTATTTGTTTCCAACAACACAGGGGGTGTTCATCAAAATCAAGCATTAGGTTATTACAGTTGTTGATAAATGTAGTTCCATTGCTTTTTTTCTCCTGTTGCTCTATCTGCACTGGCTGTGCGAAGATGAGCCTCACTTTAGTTTTACGCTGAAAAGATGGACACAAGACTCACATGAGCAACTCACTGAGTTTGTATTGGTGAGTGTTGAAAATAACTGAATTTAGTGCGAAGGGTCATTGCTATATAAACTAAGTTAATATGCATATTTTTACATTAAAGTGAGTCTGACTACTATTAGAGGTTTGGCCAGTTTTATGATAACCACTCTCAAAGCTATCAGGCCTGAAACATCCGACACAGTGGAGTTTCAATTCATACACTATAATCAGACTTGTTGGAGGGAGATGCTATTGTGCATGACAGCACACAGTGCATCTCTATAATAAAGCACAAGCAGGTGATACATTTTAATTCTAATTGACTAAGCACAAATAAAAGTTACATTTTTTAAAAATATGCACATCTTGCATGTTACGACCCTAGGGGTCATGATGTTGTGTTCTTTGCAGTTTTTTTTTGTTTCTTTTTTATGTATTGCAGTGTCATGGTGGCTCCGGTCCAGCAGGGGGCTCAACCTATAAAGGCTGGATTACAACCAGGTGGAAGCGTGAGGCGAGAGAGTTACACGCTGTTGCTTTCTGGTTCCCTGTCCACCAACTTGAGTAACGCTTATGCTTCATTAGAGTAACTAGTAGTTTACAAGGTGTTTCAAATGGTGTTGAAACTTTAATACATGCTCCAGCTCATATGGTGTGAACGTTACCTTTGAAGTTTGTATATTCTCCATCAAAGTCTGCGAGGCCTAGACACTGCAGTATTCTCCTCAGTTTAGGGAGGCAGGACATTTTTGTTTCTCTGTTTTCTCCTGGTTATTGCTTTAGTTAAGGAGTTAGGTTAAATTTGATGCACTTTCTTTTCTTTTTGTTCGTTAGTTTTAGTTACTTGTTGACTTAGTTAGCTTTGTTATGTTTATTTTCTCCTACCCTCCTTTCTTGTTATGTTGTTTTGGTTCAGTTTTCTCATCTATGTTTCAACTTCAGTAAATCTTGATCAATGTGAAGCTGGATGTTATATGTGTGGTCGAGGGAATCGGAAGGGCACGTGTGACTCTCTCTCTCTTTCCTTTTATGTTATGGCCTAACCCTAGACTTGGTCATAACATGCATATGTTATTTTTCTTATAAGGGACACCTGATCTAACAACAAAATAAATATTTCTACACCATTTGACACTTATTTATTTGACATTTCAATGAGAAAATCACAGAATAAGATTTTATTAACTTCATAATTTCATCAGAATAATGATGATTTTGCTTTTGAGAGCTAAACATTCAGCTGGGGCTTCTTCTTTAGCTGGTGCAGGTGACGTTAATATATAAAGACGTATGAGGTGGCCCAAAAAACTCCCATGAAATCCAATCCAACAGCCCTGATTTTTACATTACTCTTTCTGGCTTTACAGTGGTACTCACAACAGCGCATGGATACCAGATTTTAGCAGACTTTTTTCCCTCCTGATACAGTAAGGCCTTTCTTTCAATTCTAACAAAAAAAAATCTTACATAGCATATCTTAAAATAACAGAATGGTCATTTTTTTGTACAACTTTCTGGAGGTCTGGACCGTTCCTGAACAGGTGCAGGGTCGTTGGACAGGATAAGATTTAAAAAAAGTGTGAAATCACCAAAGCAGGTGAGCAAGAAATTCAAGTGATGCTGCACGGGAGGCAGTAGGAGTAAGCAAAGCATATGACTGGCCACATACAGCAGAAGAGATATTTCCAGCAAAACAGGAAGAACCTAAGATCATTCACTCAGTCACACAATCAGTTTTGTCCACTTTCTAATTCTTTAACACTGACTTTCTGCATAATTAGAAGGTAAAATCTTCTGCTATGATTCATAGCTAGAAGTGGTAATAGTGAATTCAGTCAACATCTTTGAGAGATACATATCCTAGAGGTTCACATACATTTCACATACAGTTTAATCCATGTTTAACAAAGATAATATATAAAATACTGGTGCAAGTTGTAATGTATATATAACCTGTCATGCCTAGCAAGCCGTAAGATGGTGTGGAGAAGCTGACCACATTTGAGTTGGTTTGCAAGGTCAGTAAACAGGGTTTTGCAGGAATTCACAATGCCAAATATGGCCTCTAAAGAGCAATGCACTAAATGAACTTAAAAGTTCGTTAAAAAAGTGAGCACAAGCTCCATAGAATAATCATAACAGATTTAATTTCTACAGTATACCCCTAACCAACTGTCATCTTTTAAGCAATAGAGCAACACGTTTTAGCTATTTACCTATTAAATTATTTTAATTTATACGGGAATTGTCAAAAATGTGGATATTTAGCTAAAATTGTGGATATGAGGCAAATAAATAGAATACAATAAATAGAAATACACTGGAATTCTTACCGTATTAACAGTGAAAAATGCTGAACATAAAGAAAAAGAAAAAAGTTTTAGCAAAAGTGCACAAAAAAGAAAAATGAAAGCACCAAAAACAGTGCAAAGTAAAAAATAGACAAAACAGATCTTAAGGCCTACTTCTTTCAGATTAGTGCTCCTCACATATTAAAGTCACACCTCCTTTCACTGTGGCCCAACAGTGTAAAATGACCGTAGAGAATTAGCATTTCTATCTGTATATATACTGCAAACGCTTCCTGTTCAACCAGTTGAAACATCAGACCTTGTACACACTCAGTTATTATCTCTACACAATACTTAAACAGGAGAATGGAGTCTCTCTTTACTCTCTTGCATGTGGTAATGGCCATCATCAAATTTTCCAGCACAAATGGGACCTTCTGTAGCCTGCAAGGAGAACCTGTATACCCACAACTTTCTAAGGATGGTGATATTAAAATTGGAGGGATTTTCCCCTTTCCACAGGACTTGGGAAATCACAGAAGTGTCATATATGGTCAAGCCATCACCACTGAAATGCATGAGGTAAGCAGTAAAACACACACTGAATGAATGTGTATTATCTTAAGCACTTACATTACTCGGTAGTAATGAGCAACGCAAATGTCATCCTTAAAATGTCTGTGTATATATTTTTTTTTCCTAATCCAGTCTTGATTTCAGAACTTTCCAGTTTTCACAGTCCTTGATCTTTGCAGTAGAAGAGATCAACAACAGCTCTTCTTTACTCCCTGGTGTTTCACTGGGCTACAAGCTCTATGACACATGCAGTTCCACGCCAATGGGGGTGAGAATGGCTATGACACTTATTAATGGAAATGAAAACTCAAACTTGAATGAGCCCTGCACAAAGCCAGCACAGGTGCAAGCCATTATTGGCGAGACACACTCACCAGTATCAATGGCAATTGCAAATAGTGTTGGATCTTTCACCTTTCCAGTGGTGAGCATTTATGCAATTTTTATCAATACTGGCAAATTTAAAATATCAGAATTAGAAATTAGTAAAATAATTTCAGAACTTAGCTTTAGTGTTAACGTCTGGCAAAAAAAAAATATAACTGCAAATAATACCTGACATTACTGTGTGAATCTCTTTTAAGATGAGTCACTATTCCACCTGCGAGTGTCTCAGTGACAAAAAGAAATATCCCTCATTTCTTCGCACTGTTCCCAGTGATTACTACCAGAGCAGAGCACTGGCAGAGATGGTCAAGCACTTTGGCTGGACATGGGTAGGTGGAATCAGAAGAGATGATGAATATGGTAACAATGGGATGGCTGCATTTACTGAAGCTGCAGAGCAGCTGGGCATATGCTTAGAATACTCCCTTCCATTTTTTAGAACTTACTCACAAGAAAAAGTGCTGAGAATAATCCAGCAGATCAAAAGCTCTACTTCTCGAGTGATTGTGGCGTTTGTCACTTATTGGGACTTGGAGATTTTGCTGAATGTATTTTATGAGCACAACATCACTGGATATCAGTGGGTGGGAACTGAAGGTTGGATCTCTGATTCAACTGTATCCAGACTGGATAAGCACACAATACTGCAAGGAGCCATAGGGCTAGCTATCCCCAAAACAACAGTGACGGGTCTGAAGGAATTCATTCTGGATATAAATCCACTGCAGTCTACAGGCAGTGCCATTTTTACTGAATTCTGGGAGGCTCTGTTTATGTGCAAACATTCGGTGCAGAATGACTCAGAAGACACAACAGTGTGCACAGGCCAAGAGAAACTGTCTGAAATGGACAACGAATTCACAGACATGTCCCTGATGCCCATTTTCAGTAATGTGTATAAAGCAGTATACGCTATTGCTCATACTCTACACAACCTTCTGGGCTGCACGCAGACATGTCCTACAAAGAAGCAGCCTGATCCTCTCACTGTAAGTTAAAAGTTTAAGTACAGATATTATACTTAAGAGGTTCACAGGTCTGGCACATGCTTGTAGAACTAATCAAGAGAAATCAGTCATAATAATGTATTTTTATGTGGTAGTAAGTGTTAATCTCATTCAAATGTTGTAACCTGTAAACTGTAGCGTGTAAATTTTGTTTTTTTTGTAAGTTTCTGGAACAACTCAAAAGAGTGCGCTTCAAAACCAAAGATGGCGAAGAGGTTTATTTTGATAAAAATGGTGACCCTGTGGCTAAATATGAAATAATAAACTGGCAAACTATTGAAGATCAACATGAGTTTGTCACAGTTGGATTTTATGACTCTTCTTCCCCTGCTCACAATCGATTAGCTGTAAAAATGGCTTCTATTGTGTGGGCACAATATACAAATCAGGTACAAGGATAAAATTGCTCTTCAGTCTCAACGAAACATGCATACTTCACATACATTTTTCATACACTGTTTAAAATAAATGTTTGTTTAGGTCATTGAAGATTTATTTTGATCATAGGTGCCAGTGTCTGTGTGCAGTGAAAGCTGCCCTCCAGGCACCAGGAAGGCTGTGCAGAAAGGAAAGCCTATCTGCTGCTTTGATTGTATACCATGTGCTGAAGGAGAGATCAGTAATATGACAGGTACAAAAATTCACGAAAGCTGATTGCTGGTATTACTCCTACAATTACAAAACATTCCAGAACAAGTCTAAACTGATTAAAGTCTAGAGTTTTTTCTGTAGGTTTTAGATAATGGCAACTTTATATATAATGCATTCAGACAATTACTTTTCCAGTAACGCTAACTTTTTTTGTGTGTGTTATTTATTTCTCTCTGACAGACTCGATTGAATGTGAACAATGCTACCAGGACTACTGGTCAAATTCACACAGGAATGAATGTGTAAAGAAGGAAATTGAATTCTTGTCGTATGAGGAAACGATGGGAATTTTGCTAATAGCTGTTTCAATTATTGGAACATTTATGACAATAATAATAGCAATTATATTCTTCAGACACAAAAATACTCCCAATAGTCAAAGCCAACAATTCAGAGCTGAGCTTCCTGCTGCTCTTCTCACTGGCTCTGTGTTTCCTCTGTTCACTTACTTTTATTGGTCAGCCCTCTGAGTGGTCCTGTATGCTGCGCCACACAGCGTTTGGGATCACCTTCGTCCTCTGCATCTCCTGTGTTCTGGGGAAAACAATAGTGGTGTTAATGGCCTTCAGAGCTACACTTCCAGGCAGTAACGTCATGAAATGGTTTGGGCCTCCACAGCAGAGACTCAGTGTTCTTGCTTTCACTCTCATACAGGTCCTAATATGTATTCTTTGGTTAACAACATCTCCTCCTTTCCCCTTCAAAAATCTAAAGCACTACAAGGAAAAGATCATTTTAGAATGTCAGTTAGGTTCAGCTATAGGTTTCTGGGCTGTGCTGGGTTACATAGGACTGTTGGCTCTACTGTGTTTTGTTTTAGCTTTTCTGGCTCGGAAGCTGCCTGATAAGTTTAATGAAGCCAAGTTCATCACATTCAGCATGCTCATATTCTGTGCAGTTTGGATCACCTTCATCCCAGCTTATGTCAGCTCTCCTGGAAAGTTCACTGTTGCTGTGGAGATATTTGCTATTTTGGCCTCAAGTTTTGGTTTGTTATTCTGTATTTTTCTTCCTAAGTGTTACACAATCATACTGAAACCAGAAAAGAACACTAAAAAACAAATTATGGGTAAAGTGCCAGTGAAGTGAGCTGCATGTTCACTATTAACATGGCCTATAACTGTAATTTTAATTTGTTAATGTTTTGCACGCATTATAATGCAGTTTTTTTTTCTCTTTTCTTGTAACTCTGCGTAATGCAACGGTTGAGATGTGAAGAAACTCTATAAGATTACTTTGCTGTAAACATTTCAGAGCAACTGATTCATTTCTTTATTTTATTCCCATAATGACAGTCCAATGAACAGGGTTCACAATGTCTACAACACAAATATAGGTATTTCATTTGCAATTCAAAATAACCAGTAAACATACATGTCTTCAGTTTTTACACATAGTGTTGAAAATGTTAGTAGTGGCAAATAAAAAAAATATATTGTACCACTGTAGATATTCGTTAAAAATTGTGTAATTTATCTTTTTTTATTATTAAGCTGTAATTGTTGATTTAGCCAATAGCTAAATTAACAGTTAGGAACTATTCCTAAAAGCACATTTTTTTACCCCATTAAAATGTACTAAATTATTATTTAGCACTATTATGATTAAAAGTCTATTAAATACATTTATAATAAAGTTTCTGTTAAATGGCATACTAATATATTGAACCAAATAGTTGAAAAGGAACAATTTTTTTCATGAACACTTTGAACACACTTCTCACATTACACTTTGTTTAGAACATATATTTGGTCCACTGGACACTATGAAGATATCTACATGTGTAAGCCAGCTCAAGTTTCTTTTCCTCTTCCCCTCTTTACACAAATAATTATAAGTTCAACTCTAGGTCAAACCAACCTTCATAAGCTTTCTCATGAATTCTCCATTGTTGGGTGTATTTTGTAGGATTGAGACAATACAAGCTGGCAGAGGTTGCTGTTTTGTATACTTGGCAAGCCAAAGGACATAAGCAAGCCAATACGCAAACAGCGCTATAGAATGATAAAAACAAATTCTGCAAACACATCCAGACTGGCAAAACTCTGACCTGTACAGAGTACCTGTACAAAGAGTTTCAAAACATTGGTGAAAGCAACGAGTCGTATATCTTTTTTCTCTAATGTCACCCTACCGGCACTGCCTATGTGAACATAAGCCACAAGGTGCACATTATCAAATGCTATTGTACTAGACAACACACAGTGTCATTTTAATTGTATTAAGTCATTAAGCCCAAATAAAATCTTGTAAAAATATACGTTTTGCATATTTTTGTCTTATAAAGGAGACCTGATCTAACAGAAAATAAATATTTGTACAGCACTGGACATTTTATTTAAATAAATTTAGAATGTCAAAATTGCAGAGTGAGATTTTGAACAAAATTAACTTGATTCACAAAAAAAAATAAAAAAACCTTTAAAACCTTAATTCTCTTTCTTTGGATTCAAAACTGGAATTGAACATCCAAAATAGATGGAATAGAGTCCAAAACAAAAACAAAAGGAGGTATCAAAAGTAAGGTGCCTGATGTGGCAATATTGACAGCTGCTGCATTGCTTTTAAATTACTATTTCTGGCTTTACAAGGTGACTTGTAGCAGCTCACAGACACCAGATTTTAGTGTGTTTCTACCTTTCTGACATAGTGCTTCAAATAATACAGTGGTCACCTTTTATACAACAAATTGGAGCTCTGGAGCAATCCGGAACAGGCTAGGGCTTTCTAAAGAGGACATGATTCAGTACAAGTTAGCGATCAGTAAAACAGGTTAGCAAAGAAGGCTAATGGTGCTGCATGGGAGGCAGCGGGAGTAAACAAAGCATTTAGCTAGAGAGAGAGAGAGAGAGAGAGTTCCAGTAAAACAAAAATAACCTAAAATTAATAAGTCATAGAATGTTTACATATTTATTTATTTATTTATTTATTTATTTATTGTTTGTCTGTTTGTTTGTTTGTTTATTGAACTTTCTTGCTTTCGGCATCCATGGAGGATGGAAAAGTTTTCTGTGATAACCAATAGTCAGAGGTGGTAACAGAAACTTCATTTAAAACATTTGAAGACATACATATTTCAGAGATTCACATATTTTTCATTCAAGAAACTTAATTGCTTAGTTTATGCGAAGCCCTTCCTGGATCAGGGCCTTGTCATGGCAGAAGTAGTCTTTGTAGTCTAGGGATCTTCAGAGCTATGTCGTCTGGAGCAATATGCTCCTGGTAGGGTCTCCCAAGGCGAACAAGTCCGGAGTGAACACCCAGACTCACTTGATCCAAAAATCCTCCATGACTAATGGATGAAGGAAATCATGTACACTGCCCGGGAGAGGGCTACCGGGACCAGGCCTGGAGGTAGTGTTCCTCAGCGAGCGCCTGGTGGCCGGGCAGCCCATGTAACCTAGCCGGGCTCAGCCCGAAAAGGCAACATGGGGTGACCATGTGGGCCCACCATCCGCAAGGCCCAGCATGGGGGACTGGTGCAGTGCCGTATAGGCAGTGGGAGATGGCAAGAAGGCGCTTGGCTGCATAGACCCCTGCGGCGGAAACTGGCTCTTTGTACGTGGAATGTAACCTCACTGAGGGGGAAGGAGCTGAAGCTTATGTAGGAGGTTGAGAGGTACCAACTAGATGTAGTTGGGCTCGCCTCCACCCACAGTGTCGGCTCTGGAACCAAAATCCTTGAAAGGTGTTGGTCCCTCTCCTACTGAGGAGTTGCACAGGGTGAGAGGCACCAGGCAGGTGTGGTGATACGCATGAGTCCCAGACGGGAGGGTCGCCTCAATGAAAATAAAAATCGTAAGAAGGAAAACTCTAGAGAGTAGAGGGAGTCTAAGGAGTATTCTGCCTTCTTGGAGAGAGCGGGCAGGGCTCTGGAAAGGGCCTCACCTACAGACTTCATAGTCTTGCTGGAAGACTTCAATGCTCATGTTGGCAATGACTGGGAGACCTGGAGAGGTGCGATTGGGAAGAACGGCCTGCCCGATCTAAACTCGAATGGTGAATCGTTATTGGATTTCTGTGCTAGGCATGGATTGTCCACACCAAGTTCGCACCACACCAAGTTATGAACACAAGGATGTTCATAAGTGTACATGGTACCAGAGCTCCTTGGGTCAAAGGTCAATGATCGACTTTGTTGTCGTTTCATTTGACTTGGGACCATATGTTCTGGACAGTCGGGAGAAGAGAGGTGCTGAGCTGTCAACCGATCACCATCTGGTAGTGAGCTGGATCGGATGGCAGGGAAGTGTTGGGACCAAGGGCTATCCCTGTCAACCCCAGGCCTCCAACATAATATTATCAATAAAAAAGAAATCTTTTAATACTGGCTAAACACTTACACTAATAACTGTTCTAAGTCTAAGTTCTTAAAAGATGCCAAAAAGGAAAGAGTCTTCAGACACTGAGTTTGCGGAAAGAGGGAAAAAGGTTTCTTCTTTATTTCAGCATCAAGTGACAACAGTTAATATACCATTTAGCTGGGGTAATTTGATATCCTCCCACCTTACGTCTCAAATTTTGACATTAGCTTATTCTCTGACAGGTGCATCTCTTCGCCCATCAATTTGGCCATCGCATGTTGTGCTCACTCCTAAAAACTGGTTTCAACCAGTTTTTACCAATCTGCTTTAATTTTCAAGGTCAACATGTCCCTCTCTTCACTGGGTCAATAACTACACACAGGCCTGTCTGTGAACCCAGAGGGCTTTCCAGTGTCTAGAATCTCATACGCAGACAGACAAAGGTCTACCCTTTGTGAGAGAATTAATATTCTCTGTTAGCCAATACTATCTATTTGGTTACTGATTACAATATCAAATCTATCTGATTACTGATTAAGGGAATATTTATTCAAAATCTCTGTCTGGGTAGGCCTAAGCGGACAGTGAGCTTGTGCTAGGAACGACTGTCAGAGGCCCCTGTTCAGAACTCCCACCTCCTGGAGAGCTTTTCTCATGTTCTGGAGGAAGTAGGGGACATGGAGTCTGAATGGACCCTGTTCAAAACCTCCACTGTGGAAGCTGCCAGGTGTAGCTGTGGCCAAAAGCTTGTTGGTGCCTGTCAGGGCGGTAACTCAAGAACCCCCTGGTGGACACCGGTGGTGAGGGAGGCTGTCAAGCTGAAGAAAGATGTCTTTAGGGACTGGATGGCCTGGAGGACTCCCAACTCAGCAGATAGGTACCGACACGTAAAAAAGGTGACAGCGGCAACCGAAACACTTTCGGTCAGCTTCAAGGAGTTTCGCCCAAGCTGTATTCGGCAGAGGTGGAGAAATTCTGACTTCAAATGAGAATACTGTCAGTCGGTGGAAGAAGCCCTTTGAGGAATTCCTTAATCTGAGAGACATGCCTTCCTCACAGGAGTAAGGGCCAGAGGCTTCTGGCGTGTCAGGCTCCATTTCCCTGATGGAGGTCACTGAGGTATTTGGGAAGCTCCTCGGTGGCAAGGCACTGGGGGTGGATGAGATTCACCCAGAAATGCTTAAGGACCTGAATGTTGTGGGGCTGTCAGGGTTCTCTGCAATATTGCATGGACCTCAGGAACAGTACCCTTGAACTGGCAGACTGGGGCAGTGGGCCCTATTTTTAAAAAAGGGGACTGTGTGCCACCTACCGGGGTATCACACTGCTCAGCCTCCCTGGGAAAGCTTGTGCCAAGGTACTGCAAAGGAGACTCCGACTGATAGTCGATAGTCCTCAGATTGAGGAGGAACAATGTGGATTCCGTTCCAGCCATGGAACAATGAACCAGCTCTTCACCCTCTCGCAGACTGTTGAGGGGGCATGGGACACTATACTTGATAGGGTAAGGAGCTTGGTCATCTGTGAGAAGCTTGGAGTAGAGCCGCTACTCCTCCGCATTGAGAGGAGCCAGTTGAGATTGTTCAGGTTGAGGCATCTTGATCAGGGACCTGATCAAGATGCCTCCTGGATGCCTCCTGGTGGGGGTTACCAGGCACAGCCTGCTGGGATGTGACCCCGGGGTCATCCTAGGACCCAGTGGAGAGATTATATCTCCAAGTTGGCCTGGAAGCAGCTTGGGGTCCCCGGAAATGAGCTGGAGGAACTTTTGGGGGACAGGGACAG